CCAGCGTTAGGAGATGAAATCAGGATTTAGCAGAAGGTAGTCACGGGTAGGGAATGTATTAATGTAAACGGTGTCTAGCTCTTGAAAGGACTCCTCATCAGCTCGTCTAGTTCAGTCAGTAGAGCATGAGACTCTCAATCTCAGGGTCGTGGGTTCGAGCCCCACGTTGGGCGTTACTGTTACTTTTTTCTCTCTCTCTAAGCAAACTTACATTAGGGGTTCATATAGCAGACCTTTTGAGACAAAGTTACGCCTATCTACAACTGTAGGTGACTCTTCTCTAAATTTCTGTGGCGCAATAGGTTAGCGTGTAGGCTGATAACTGATAGGTTTGTGTTTCAAGCCCAACTTACATTAGGGTTACATTAGGGTTCATATAGCAGACCTTTTGAGACAAAGTTACGCCTTTCTATCACTGTAGGTGACCTGTCCCTACTACCTTTTGGCGCAATAGGTAAGCGTGTAGGCTGTTAACTGATTGGTTGGTGGTTCAAGCCCACCCAGGAACGAATTAGGCATTTTGCTGCCTTGCAACTGCTAACACATGCACTGGGCATAGATCCTGGGCCACATTCTGTCCAGCGTTACAAGATGGTATTACTGTAAACAGTGCCTAGCTCTTGAAAGGACTCCTCATCAGCTCGTCTAGTTCAGTCGGTAGAGCATGAGACCCTTAATCTCAGGGTTGTGGGTTCGAGCCCCACGTTGGGTGCTTTTGTTACTTTGCTCTCTCTCTCTCTCTCTCTCTCAGCAAACTTACATTAGGGTTCATATAGCAGACCTTTTGAGACAAGGTTACGCCTTTCTACAACTGTAGGTGACCTTTCCCTAAGTCTACCTAAGTCAACCCTATACCTTGCCTACTTGTAAATTTCTGTTGTGGAGCCCGGATAGCTCAGTCGGTAGAGCGTCAGACTTTTAATCTGAGGGTCCAGGGTTCAAGTCCCTGTTTGGGCGTGTGAGGCTCATTTTGTGGAGCCACAGCTTTTGCCGTTGAGCTATCGCTTGATGAAAGTTTCATCTGGATGCACAATATGTGTACTAGGCATAAAGAAATAGCAGTACAGGCAGTCTTGTATTTGTGGCCGAGTGGTTAAGGCGGTGGACTAGAAATCCATTGGGGTCTGCCTGCGCAGGTTTGAATCCTGCCGACTACATCCTCTCATACTCTGTGTTGTGGCCGCAGCATCCCCGGGTTGAACCGGGTCATGTTGTGAATTCGACTTCTCATCAGTTAGAAATATCAGAAAATAGACTTTATTCTCCATAATAAAGTCGAGAAAGAGCAGAGCAGACCCCAGAGCATTCTGAAGTCTTTCCTGCTCCTCCTAAAGTATCTGTGTTCTCCATAATCTTTTTACAGGTAATTATGACACACCCCTTTGTGTCTCTTTTTAACTCTTGACCATTTTTGAATAGGCTTTCTAGTCTAAGGGGTCCTGCTATTCTTGGCTCTTAGCCCACTAGCTCATGTCAACAGAGATGTTACAGGTCTATGTCAGCAAAGTATAGATACAACTTATGCAAAGGAACTAAGGGTTTACATACATTGTTATGATAGGATAATAACTTGATAATATGTTACTCATTCTAACTTCTGCCACATATAGCTTCATACAAGTATTTAACATATATGATCAGTGCTTTACATATTCAGTTATTCTACACAATCAGCCATTCAGTAATAGCCTTCTCCTAGTGTTGCTTCTGTGCAGGCATACTCATATTACACAGTATTTTTAACACATGCTGGCATGTTTGCTGCAAACACTACATACATTTTGAGAAGAGAAAATTAACTGCTTTACACTTAGAAAATACTACACACTGAGACAATAAAATCTTCTTCAAATTTATATACACTGAAGAAAGACCTTGATACTCTTAATGTGGAGACGGACAAAGGTGCCTTTAATAAGGTCAAGTGGCCAGAATTTGGAGAAAATAATTCAACCTATTTTTCTTAATGCAGAAAAGAGAAGAGGTGAGCAGAAAAGGACATCAACCCTTGATATTAATGGTCACCTCATCTCAGATGAAGGAACAATATTAAAGTTTGTATATGAGTTTTCCCAGTCTTACTTCTTCCTTTCAGCCAAATTGCTCTGATCAATTATTTTGTAATGTTCAGTCATTTATTCCAATCATTAGTGACGATCATCATGATGTTTGAGAGACTGTAATAACTGTAGAGGAATTGGACACTATAATTACAGTAAACCCATTTAATAAAAGCCCAGTACCAGATGGTTTGCCATTTGAACTGTATAGGCTGTTTGGTAATGTTGAATATGTTCAAAGAAAGCTCAGATAGAGAAGGATTAGCTGAATCAATGAAGCAAGGCATAATCACACTGATCCCTAAACCAAATAAGGAGAAACCTTTTCTTGATAGCTGGCTTTCCGTAACTGCTTAATTCTGATTATTAAATTCTCACCGCAGTATATGCTAGAAGATTAAACACATTTCACTCTCACAATCAGGTTTCATGAAAGATTGACATGTTTCAATAATATCCGTCTTGTTTTAGACCTTTTAGATTGCTCAGAGTTGGTGAACGAAGATGCTCTCATTTTGTGTTTAGACTTTTACAAGGCCTTCGACGCTGTCGAGCATCTCTTCATGCAGACACTTTGAAGCATTTTGGCTTTGGTCAAGAGTTTGTGAGAACTGTTCAGACTCTGTATAAAGACTTCACTAGTAATGTGTCTTTGCCTCATGGAGCTTCTCCACGTTTTGTCATTGGAAGAGGAATCAGACAAGGTTGTCCTGTTTCCCTTTTTCAGTTTCTGGGGGTTGCAGAGCTTCTTAATCTTTATGTGGTCAATTGCTTAAATGTTGAAGGTGTTTAAATAGTGCAGATGATGCATGTGTCTCTATACATAATAAAAACAAGTCCCTGTAATATCACAGCCATTACAATGATTGTCGAATGCTTCTGGCCTTTCTGTTAATCAGAAAAATCTGTTGACAATTCTTCATTCTGATATCTTAGATGTTTGTGGAATTAAGGTCAGGCACACCATCACATATTGAGGTATTACAATTAATAAATGTTCTTCTGAAAGGATCAGAACTTTTCTAAATGTTTAAAGAAAGTCAAAACTGTGTTTAATTGCTGGTCTCAGAGGAACCCGACTATCCATGGACGTCTTCTACTTTCCAAAGCTGAAGGAATATCAAGGCTGGTCTATCCCGCTCTCTCCTTACAGTATATGCTAATCCCGAAATGTGTACAGAGATTGATAGGGCTGTATTTCAGTTCATCTGGAAAAACAGGACAGAATATGTCAAAAGAAAAACAATAAGCTTTTCGAAAGGTGGACTCACTGTTCTTGATTTGACAATGTTTAAAATGAATTGGATGAAACATTGCCTTTACCAAAGTCATTTACTGGTTTTATATTACAAATCTCTTCTTTGACAAATGTGCTGGATTAAAACGGTCATGTTCTCTATTGTGTTTAGTGTTGGTCAACTGTGGTAGCATCTTTTAATTAGGAAAAAATATTTTATTATTATTTTTACTATTTTTTATTTTTGCTCTTTTATTGATCATTTTTCTATGTTCCTTCTTATTATGAGCCTATTGCTATTTTTACTGTTTTATGCTGTGTCATCATGTGTTTATTTTCTCTCTGTAAAGCACTTTGTGCAGCCCTGTGGCAGTTGGAAACGTGCTATATAAATAAATAGAACTTGAACTTGAATTAAACTTTTTGCTTTCTTGTGACTCCAAATGTACTAAACTTCCCATTAAATGATCAACCTTTCATAAGCAATTATTAGAAACGTGGATGTTACATGTCCATGTATTTATTATTTATTTATTTATGTTACTTTGTCGCCTTCTAGTATTTTGTATCTGTTTGTGTTTTGATTTTAAGTTGATTCCTCCGCACCTGCAGACCATTGACTGTTGGCGATTTAAGAGCTCGCTCTGCAGTGTTTCAGTGACGGGGATTTGAGCGCCCGTCCAGACGTGGAGTGGTGCTCCTTTTGTTTTCAGCCTTCGTTTATTCTGTTTTCTCCCCATACTTTGTTTATGCTACCTGTTGAGCCTTGATTTATTATTCTGCTGTGACCACTAGTCAGGTAAGCTAATCTGTATTTTTTTTTAACTTTATGCGTTATGACGTCTTTCACGAGTATCCGGAATATGCAAGTTTAAGTAATATGAATCATCCACATATCTTTTGCGACTTCATTATCTGAGATGTGAAACACATGGAAAAGCTGCCTGAAGACAATCAGCAGTCCCGTGCGCACACACATAAGAGACACGAACATGCTGGTGGAGTGAGTGTGTGTTACAGCAGTTTGGCTGATAGATATGAATTTGTAGCTAAATCGTTTGCCCGCAAAGCAGCATTTCGCATTGTTTACATCATTGCTACAGCATACCGTTAATGCTAGACACTGTACATGTCATGATCAATTTTAACAAATAAAAACACTTACTTGTAGCTTACAACTTTTGCTTTGAGGAGATTTTAGCCGAGTCCAGCACTGAACTGGGAGAGATTCTGTGACAGTGGAAACGCAACATAATTTTGGCCTCATTACTCATCTCCCGGGCGATTGGCCCGGCCCGATAAAAGCCCTGGCTCGCACTGGCCCGATAGTGGAAATGCGGCTACTGGCACTTCCCCGCCAACACTTCAAGAACTGTACTCTTCCAGAGCGAGTAAAAGGGCTCGCAAAATCCCCCTGGATGCCTCATTTGATGTTTGATAAGTAAATTAATAAACAATTCGGAAGTGTGGAATGTGCACAAATATGGTTATCGGTTCATAATAGGTTGAAACACATTGTTAGATTTTGCTGTATTTGGCTTAACCGTTCTTGGACGGCTTGTCAATGTATAGAATGTTACATGTTGGTTTCATTTGAGAATTGAACCCAGTTTCTTGGACTCAAAGCTGGGGCTTTTCCCAGCTGAGCTAACTCCTCAACATATGAACCCAAGAGCACAAAATTAAAAAGGGAACTTGAGGTGTTTAGTTTCAGAAACAAGAAACAACTGATCTTTATTTGAAAAATAGAATACAAAGTACAACAGAAATGACGGAAGCAGAGCGTCCAGTAAACAGGCAAAACAAATCTGACACAAGGGTAAAAAAAAAAACAACAACAACAACAATAAAAATAAAGTGTCACTTAGCGTCTCAAGAGAATCGGGCGAGCACTGGGCAGTAAAGGCTCAAGACTGAACACACTAGCTTTTTACACACAAACTTTTATAGGGAAAAACACAGGTGTTGCTAATCTAGCTTGAGTGGTGGCACACAGTAGATGGGAAGAGGAGGAATACAGCTTAATTAATTTTTACATAGATGACTTTAATACATAAAATAAGTAAGCTGACCAAAGCTCTTACGGGGAGAAGACTTTATCGAAGACAATGAATAGTGCAGTTCCTCAGCAGCGATGTTAACTCATTGGTAACTTAACCCAAAGTGAGACATTACTTTATAACAAAGGATGTAACCCTCGGAGATCGGCCTACTTCTTTGGTTGGGTCACAACTCTTGAGTTCCTGTAGGTCATTTGGTTCACACCTTTTCAGATGCAAATACTTGTTTGCATATGAAACAAGTCATACAATCTATCAACATATAGAGTTATTTTGGGTTCTTGAAGCCCTGCAGGTGTTCAAAGGGTTTCATCTTCAGAAAACTTGATATGTATTCAAAAGTTCACACTTGTCCTGGTAAGAAACTCTGGTTATTTATAGTGAGTCAGGAATCATCTGATTGGTAAATCATGTGTTGGCTAATGCAGGACCAGCCGTAGACAATCATAAGCATGTGATCCTCTCAAAAGAAGTATAAATAAACTTCACTTGGATGGACAGCCAAACTACATGAAAAAGCTGCCGTTTTGAATATACCAGTGTTTGTGTGGAAAAGGCCTCAATTTTGGGGACTCTGCTATCCAATGTGAAGCTTTAGGTGAGTGTTGAGGCTTCTTTTATGTTTAAAGCCCTTTCCACATTCACTGCATCTAAAAGGGTCCTCTCCTGAGTTAATCTTCCTGATGTGTTTCCTGATGGAGTCTTTGCGTGTGAGACTCTTTTCACACTGATCACATGTCAACACTATGGTTCCAGTGTGATTATCCTTGAGGTTCTTGAGGCTAGCTTTGGTTGTGAAGCGCTTTCCACACTGAGTACATGCAAACGGCTTCTCTCCAGTGTGAGTTCTCATGTGGTGTTTGAGTGTGCTTTTATGTGGGAAAGTTTTCCCACACTCTGTGCATCTGTAAGGTTTCTCTCCAGTATGAATCCTCATGTGGTTGTCACAAATTGTTTTTTGAGTAAACCTTTTCCCACACTGTGTGCATGTGTGAGGTTTTTCTCCAGTGTGAATCCTCATGTGGATGTTAAGGTCATGTTTTTGAGAAAAATGTTTCCCACAGTGTGTGCAAATAAAACTTCTGTTTCCAGTGTGTGTTCTCATGTGGACTTCAAGGGTGCCATTTTGCTTAAAACTCTTTCCACACTGGATGCAAGAGTAAGGCCTCTCCCCAGTGTGAATTCTCATGTGCGCTGCAAAGTTTCCTGATTGGTAGAAGCTTTTTCCACACTGTTGGCATATGTACGGCCTCTCTCCAGTGTGAATTCTCATGTGCACTGCAAAGTTTCCTGGATGATAGAAGCTTTTTTCACACTGTTGGCATGTGTATGGCCTCTCTCCAGTGTGAATTCTCATGTGGGTTGTAAAGCCTTGTTTATAAGTAAAACTCTTTCCACACTGTTCGCAGGTGTAAGGCCTCTCCTTAGTGTGAACTCTCATGTGAACATCAAGGTTTGCCTTTTGACTGAAACTCTTTCCACACTGTTTACAGCTGAAAGGCTTCTCTCCAGTGTGAATTCTCATGTGGTTTTCAAAGCCTTGTATGTGACCAAAACTCTTTCCACATTGTTCGCAGGTGTAAGGTTTCTCCCTAGTGTGAACTCTCATGTGAACATCAAGGTTTGACTTTTGACTGAAACTCTTTCTACTCTGTTTACTGCTGAAATTACACGCAGATTTGGATTTCCGAGGTCTTCCACGTGATGAAGTCTTTTTATTCAGTGTGGGTTTTTCATCAGTCGTTATTTCTTGAAGTTTCTCTTCCATTTCATTCTGTTGATGAGTCTCTTCTTTCAACACCATCAGGTCTAAAAAAAACAACAACAAAAACACTGTTAACTTTAGTACGAAGACACAAAGTGACAAGCAAAAGATGGATGTTTCATCAAGATATTAAAATGACCTTACCATTTACTCTCCGTCATGTGGTTTTAAACATTTCCTTTCTTATGGAACACAAAGAAAGCCAGCATTTTTTCACTATCTTCTTTTGTGTTCAACAGAATCAAGAAACTCGTAAAGGTTTAAAACCACATAACGGAGAGTAAATGGTATCCCTTTAAAGAGTTCCTTTTATGAACCTTCTTTTACAAGATGTAAAATAAGTCTTTGGTGTTCTCAGAATGTGTCTGAGGTTTTAGCTCAAAATCAGATTATATACCTTGAAGAAAATATTATTTTGGCGGTCAGAGGAAAACCAAGCTCTTTTTGTGCCTGTGGCTTTAAATGCAGATGATCAAATGCACTCATTCTAGATTATTCATGTTGTGTTCCCTCATGTGCATCTTCAACTGGATTTAAACATTTGTAACTTGCTTGGAAGACCTGATTGAGACAAATACTGCATGTTCATAGCAAGTACACATAACTTACGCCTATATTTCTGAGTTTGCATTATTGTAGATAAATTATGTTATATAACAAATGTTTCCCAGTACTGGGTTGCAGTTGGAAGGGCATCCACAGTTTTAAAAAAATGCTGGAGAAGTTAGTTGTTCATTCCGCTGTTGCAACCCCTAATGAATAAAGGGACTAAGCCGAAGGAAAATGAATGAATGAACACATGCAAATGCTTAATGCCACGTTTGCTGTAAACTGGATTGATGATGAGATGGCAAGATGACATACTTTACTACTTGATTTCATTTTAAAAGTTTACACTTAACGAGCCTGAGGCTCCCATTTGCAAGACGAAAGGGGAGTTCTCGAGAACTCTTCTGTAGTAGCCAGGCAAGTGCACACATAGGGCTTAACCTGTGCAGTGCACATGCCCTTTTTAGTCTTGGATAGAAAGTGCCCTTCCGAAATTATCTAAAGTGCCCCCGCGACGCGACACACCCTCGGTCCCGCCGTTCAGTAGGTGCGCGACAACACAGCTGATCAGAAGGCGCGAAAACACAGAGCGTGAGCAAATATGATATGGAACTCAGGGTATTTATAGTGGTTTAGGAATCGTCTGATTGGTGAATCATAAATTGAGTAATGCGAAACCAGCTGCAAGCAATCATAAGCATGTGATCCTCGAAATTAGTTTATAAATAAACTTCACCTGTACTTGTTTTTGTTTTCTTGGCTTTTTGCATGTACTGATGCTTAGATGAAAACCTACATAAAGACATTTAGATAAGACATTAAGATATTTTATATACCTGACAAGATGCAGAAATGCCATCTAAAAAAGTTAACTACAGTTTGTCCCATCAGGGACAGTGACAACGTAAATATACAAATTAATAATGTTAACCCGGGGATTTGTGACCTACACACGACTTTCAGAGTGCTTCTGAGTTACAGAGAAGTGCAGAGGTTTTTTCTCTTATACGACCTGCGATATCAAACATTTCACCGTCATTAAACACACTGTCTTTCTCCCCTGTGTGTGTGTTTGTTTTTCCTCTGTCAGAAGCGCATGCACAAAAGGCAACTCCCATTTTTATTCAAACCCTGCCCATTTTACCTCCACCGACACTCCCACCCAAATAGAGCAAGACACACCCACTTTCCTGACTTTTTTCAAACTAGAGGTATGCAAACATCCTGCTGAAATGGGGGGTTTCATGGCCCTTTAAAGTTACTAGTGACTCGAATAAGCATGGATGGTTCAAGTAGCAGCTCCATTGATGAATAAATGATTATTGTTCACAGAGCAATAAACCGCTCCTCGTTGATATCACCTCTGGGCATCTTCTTCAATGTGTGCTCCCATTGACAGTTTTGCGCTTGAGCGCCTCCAAGTGCTGTTTACTGTAACTTCAGCAGCTCCGTGCACATGAACAAAAGTGCCAACCTGATTAGTTAAGGTTTTAACGCCGCGCATCAAATAAAAAAATAAAAAAACGAGCACGAGGCGTTTCTTAAAAAATTCTGCTTTTTTTATGCCTGGCGATTTGTGTGTGGTGTGCACCATCACATTGATGCCCTTTATATAGTCACAAGGTGTTAAATGTCGACAGAAAATGCAGAAAATATCTTTGTGTGCACGGGCCTTTACACTGTTTTCAGGATCTAAAAATTCATTCTGTAAAAATAGTCTCAAGCAAAAAGATTCCAATGGCGGCGCCTGCTGGTACGTAAAGTATATGGTCAATACTGACGAACTTCACACTCAAATGTTTGCATATCATCAGCATGCTGTAATCCATTTCTTAAACTGCAAAAGTCATTTTTAAACTAGTTTGTTGGCCAGTTGTAGTCAGTGCAATGCTAAACGTTATTGTTCCACTATAATTAGTTTTGTTTTATGTCGTCCCAAAACATCATCATATAATTTAGAATACTGTAGTTCAATGTTTTATAATAATAATAATTTTTTTGTGTCCATTTTATCCAGCATATTTAAAGTTAGGGCATCCACATTTTCTGACATACTTTAAACCAGGGTTAAAATTTTTGACTCGGGAAGGGCTAAAGGCTAAGGAATTTTTCAAATACCCCAGATGGAAAAGGGTTTTATTTGCCCTATATATAATTATATTATATATAAAAATAAATAAATACATTTAATAATACAAGAATAAATTAATATTAAAAATACAGTATTTTATATATTTCTTAGCAAAAAAAAAAAAATTATACTGTGTAAAAACAAGCTTTACTTGTATCCATACACTTTTTCCAACAAAAACTTTTTTAAAATGTAAAAAATAATAAAAAAAATTAACTGTTTTAAATGTTTTAAAAACTATAATAAACTAAATCTATGCACAATAATTTCTCCAGGTCGATGTCTTCAGCAGTAAATACAAGGAGCACATTTAAACAAATATTATTGTAAGGAAAATAATTAAACCATTATGATAAATAGAGTTAAAATTACCTTTTTGAATAAAAAGTTTTATTGAGTTGAATTTGTTGGTGATTGAAAGGGTTTTGGCCAGATTGGGTAGCAAAACATGAACAAAGGAAAATAAAGACTTGTTTATAAAAGACTTAAGACCTACAACACAATATTTCAGTAAATTTAAGACATTTTAAGACCCCACGGAAACCCTGTTTAAACACAATAGCCCTGGTAATTAGTTATTATAATAATGATTTAATTCTAACCCTAGCCAAAACTATCACTGTAATAGCAGATATCTTCTATGAGAATACTGTAGGTCAAATAGTGTCAGCTCAGTTAAACTTTTTTAATTGATTGTTTTTATTTATTTTATATAGTACCAGTGCTCTAGGATGCTCTACAAACAGTAGGAGAACAAGAAAAGCAATAACCTTAAGAAGGTAGAGATAATAGGAGACTAATAATACATAAAATAATGACAAAAAACATGAGAACAAGTAACAAGAAAGAAACTCATTCTGTGCTTTTGTGCATTTAAGAGAACTAGGCAGCACACTCAGGGCTGCGAGATGGATTTAGTATTCTTATTAGTAAAATATATCTGAATGAGGATCAGATGACTGCGTCGGTCTTTGAGAATAAAAGTCAACCTGTTTGTTCCTGCAGATCTTCCTGTTTGACTGTGAATGTTTCTTCAATCTTCAGGTCTTCACTTTCTACTTTAATAAATGCCATCTTTATAACAGTGTGGAGATCAGTCGCTTCAGCAGGAGTTTTTCTCTGAGTTTGGACACTTTATCCTGTTTAAAATGAACAAAACAATGAACAGAAATACTTTATTTCTTATATATATTGATGTAAATTTAGAATAAACTAACATTAAATTAGACCTTCATTAAAACACTTATTACACATTGTTACATCTCTGTAACTTTGAAACTTTTTTCAGGTATGTTCTTAATCGTGTTGTTTGTTTCATTTACTTTATTGTCTGCTTACAGCAAAGTGTAAATAGAGGTAAAATTGGTTTTATATTCGCAAATTCTGACTTTCCCCTTAATAATATAATTTCATAAAATGTATTATTTGCAAGCTCTGAATAGTGAAATCATATTAGCAGCCAATGACTATCAAAGTACAACATTGTTCACAGTCAAATAAATAGTGCTAATGTTGTTTTCAAGTTACACTTGCATGCTAATTCAGATCTAATATTCAAAGTAACATGGTAAACAATATAGAGACTTCTAAATGAACGAATGTGTGAATAGAAAACCAACTTTACCTCTATAACGTGTAGCACTTTTTTTGCACAAGACAAATTTCCTCTCAGGGACAAAAAGTTTATCCTATCTTTATTCAAACAATAGATCTCATTACTGTGAGTGAAATAGTACATAGTTGTATAAAATGTTAAAATAATATTGTCAACAGCAGGTACATAATTTAGCACTGAATAAAAAAAACCCTTAATCAATCACTTTATATAAGGGTAAGCGCTTTAAAACACACCTTTCTCCAGTTAAATCACAGCGCGGGAGCGGCGCATGCTTATGACGTCATAGACCACGCCAAAATAAAAGTCTTTTTTTTGCCACTTACTGTTGCAGTCATGACTTATTGACACATTTTCCCCTCCACTTTGATAGAGGTAAAGTTGGTTTTATATTCGCACATTCGTTCATTTAGAAGTCTCTGTATTGTTTACCATGTTACTTTGAATATTCGATTGGAATTAGCATGCAAGTGTGACTTGAAAACAGCATCAACACTGTTTATTTGACTGTGAACAATGTTGTACTTTGGTAGTCATTTGCTGATAATATGATTTTACTATTTAGAGTTTGAAAATAATACTTTTATAAAGTTATATTATTAAGGGGAAAGTCTGAATGTTTTAATATAAAACCAACTTTACTTCTATCCACTTTGACATACACAGACACACGTATTTGGAGTTAATCAAATCCTCTATCTCTATACATTTTAAGACAATTTAAAAAACGTGTTTAATCACTAAGTCGAAGTGTTTAAAGCAAAAAATCTCAACGTTCTAAAATGTATAACAAATAATCTGATGGGTGTTTTGAGCTGAAACTTTACAGACGTAAAAGACTTATCTTAAATTATGAAAGGGAGGTAAAATAGGTGCCCTTCAAATAAAAACTATTCATTACTACTACATGTTTTAACTAGTCATTCCTTATAATATATATTTTTCTCTGCGTTTGGACACTTTATCCTGCAAAAATTAACAAAGCAATAAAAATGTCCTGTTTAAAATAAATAAAACAATGAACAGACACAAAATAACTTCTTTTCAACAATTGCTTCAACAGTTTCTTTATATGAGAGTAATTAACAAAAATAAATCAGGTAAGTGCGAGCAAGAAACAATAGCAACAAATAAGCTGATTAAAACTAGTAACATTATTCTATTTCTTATATATAGTGATGTATATTTAGAATAGAATGACATTATGCAATTTAATAAATTAAACCTTCATTAAAACACTTATTACACACATTACTGTTGCTTTATTTAAACTTTAACAAATGTTGTTAATTATTTTGTTTGTTTTATTTATTTAATTGTCTGCTTACAGCAACGTTGTAGCACTCTTTTGCACAAGACAAGAATTTCTTCTCGGGGACAAATAAAGTTTATCCTATCTTATTCAAACAATAGACCTTATTGTGAGTAAAATAATACTTTATTTGTATAAAGGTTAAAATACTGTAAACAGCAGGTACATCTAGCATTAAATGAACAACCTGAAATTTTAATCAGTTGGTTTACATCGGTGTAAAAGCTTTAAAACAAACCTTTCTCCTGTTAAATCACGGTGCGGGAGCGGCGCAGCTATATGACCACGCCAAAATAAAAGTCTTTTTTGTTTAGCTTTTCCCCCTACTTACTCTTTGTCATGAATTATTGATACATTTTCCACTTTATACTTTATCTGCTTTCTGTTTTGTATTTAAGACCATCAATCTTTGTTAATTGAAAAAAAAGCATTTACCCCCCAGATCTTCACCTTCAGGTAGGTTGATAGGAGGTTGCATTTTCTTTAAATGATTGCATTTCTTTATCCATAGCTTTAACTCATTCACTTGCATTCAACTGATGTTACCACCTCTTTGTATGTTTGAATGGGGAAACATCAAATTCTTCAAAACTGCCTGCCAGGTTCCAACCTATATATGTAATAGGTTGAAACTTAACTAGGTTAACTTAGGTTGAAACTGGGCTACAGTCCATTTGTCAGGATAAAAACAATATTTATAACCAAATAAACAAACAAACAAAAAACTAAATAAAAAGTTGTAAAGAAGCTTTTAAAAATGACTGAAGAACTTTAATACAACGTTGAACAGTGCATCCACGCATGTTTAGACTTTACATTTTTATAATGTTAGCATTCAGATATTATTTGAGTGTAAATTCAGAATGTGCAACTCACCTTTCCAGTATTCAATGAAGAAGTGGGATGAGAAATGGCCTCAGTGGGTTTTTCTTTGTAGGTTGTTGTTGGTAATAATCCCAATGTAGGAATCAACAATCGTAGTTTGTCATACAAAGTTGTTCTCTTTACTTAGCAAAATAAGCCAATGACGTTTCTGTTAGGAACCCAGAATATATAGAAACAACCCTGCTGAGCTACTGGATCTGGAATGTGATTGGATAAGACTCAATTGGCCCCCATTAATGCTGGTATAAAGATGCAAATGAGCAGTGAAAACTCAAGACACATACAGTGGGGGATGGAAAGTTCAGCAGCTTTACAAACCAGTCTTACAGAGAAATAATGATGTATTAGGAAAATAAGTTGACTTCAGCCATCTTCATTTGATTTGTTGCCGTTGTTTTATAATACTATTGATGGAAGCTTATTTTTTAGTTTTGGCTGCTGCATTTTGTAGTTAATGTTGATACACTTATGTTGAGGTATTTTGATTTGAAACACATTTCAATTTATTTTTTCCCAAGCCTGGTTATAAAGTAATGTAAGAGTCGTGTGTTGTTTTTGTAGAAGCTTCTCAGAGTTGCTTGGCTGAAGTCTTTGTGTAAAGATGCAAATGAGCATTGAAGACTCAAACCACACCGATGTCTCAATACACACAACTACATTCACTTATATAATAGTCATTTAAGTCTTATACTATTATACTGTGATATATTATCATTCGTTGAGAGAAACAATTTCTGAACTTCACATTGATGTTTTATTTGTCAAGTTTAGTCAATACATTGACATGAGCTAACTATTAGCATTTTTTTTTGTCATTTATTTATCACTGAACTTGTTCTTTATGTGAGTTTAGAGTCCTTTATTTCTCTTAAAGCACATACAGCTCATTACTGGCATCTGTAAGACAGTCAACACACTCTTAATAGATCAATTATTTCTTTCCAAAAGTGTCTATAGATTTTAATGATCAAAATGTAACTTGTTTCTGTGCCAATTTTGTTTTCTTTCCTTCGTTTTTTAGTTGAACAGAACATGTGTGAGCAGCTCAGCTCTCTCGAAAACCTCTTATTCACCGGGTATGTAACAAAGATGTTTTTCCCTCTGATTATCACTTGTGTTTGTGCATACAAATATGCATAGACATTCACAAGAGAATATAAAAGATACTCTGTGACAAAACCTTTTCCTTTTAACACAGTAAAGCTATCACATACTGCCCATTTTTGCTACTTTTGTCCTTTGTTGATAATTGTTTTTACATTAATCACAAATGGATGAGACACACTGTAACTTCAAACTCATTTGTGTTAATTCCAGGTGCTGTGAAATGTTATGTTGTAACGTCATTATGTGACCATAGCAGGACCAAAACAGAACGTCCTCCTAAAGTCCTATTAGAAACGACTAAAGGAGGACTATGTGGATACGTTCTGTTAATGTTAGAAAAGTTCTCTTTGTAATGTTATTAAGTGATCATTGCAGGACCAAAACAGAACGTCCTCCTAAAGTCATATTCATAACGTTATTATATGACTAAAGGATGACCATGTAAAAACGTTCTGTAAATGTTAAAAAGGTTCTCTTTGTAACCATAGAATGGCCAAAACAGAACGTCCTCCTTAAGTCATACTGGTAACGTTATTTTATGACTAAAAGAGAACGTTTTAAGAACGTCCCTAATGTTCTGTAAAGGTTCTGGATTTTTATTACCTTTAGGGAACTTTCAGGGAACGTTGTGCAAGGTCGCGCGAACGTCGCCTCCTACCTGGGAATATCATCACGAGTATCAGTGCTATCAGTTTTTGTATTTCTATTTGTTGTAATGGCCTGTTGTTATTGCAATAAAAATAAGTAAATAAAAAAAGCAGTGCAATGTGGCTTTTTATCAGCAGTGGTGGAATGCGTGTGTTATATTGTACACTATGCACTCGAGAACGATTGTCCCTCTACCTGTTGTTTTAATCCCCTGAGAACTTTGCTCATCTTCAGAACGCAAATGAAGACAATTTAGATGAAATCAGAGAGCTCCTTCATCTGTCATACACAGCAAGAGTCCCGAGATGCTCAAAGTCCAGAAAAGAAACCAAAAACATTTAGTGGTTCAATTGTAATCGAGTTCCAAGAACATTTTGAGTGACAGAAAATGTTGAAAAAAGCAGCCATGTCCCAAAATAGGAGCTGTTGAACCATATAGTGCACTCTAAAAACGAATGTGTTGAAAACAACACAACATGTGTTATTTTCAACACATGTCCTGAGTGT